AAAAACCCCCGTCCGATTGGTTTATTAAATGTTTGGGGATTTGCCGGTTTTAAAATTATTGGGCTGCCTTAAAGTTGGGGGGGGGGGGGGGGGGTTGGGAAATGTTGTATTAAAAAGAACAAAAAAAATACCTTTTTATGGGTGTTTACTTGGCCCCAATCCAAAGCACATTTGTGGTATTTTGGGTGTTGTCCTTCCCCGCTATCTACATGGTTACTTCTGACCATCTATTCCCACACCCCAGAATTCCCATTCAAAAAAAATCTGTCGTGGGGGGGGGGATACATCCCTTGCCTCCACTCAGGTCTCATATCTTGCTGTGCAGTGTGTTACACCGATCCTGTCCAGAAAGCACAGAAATGCTGTGTAAAATGTGTGCTTTCGGAGGCTGTAGAGAAGAGAGAATGCAGATAAACAGGTTAAACTTATGTAGGAGGAATTTTTTTTATCTCTGTGTCTCACGTGAGGCTCGTTAGTTCTCATTGGGTCTTTGTTGGTTTACACAACTTTAATGCAAGGCAATTAATACACAAAATAACATGCCTGTGATAAGCAACGCAACACACCAGAGCGTTGTGAAAGAGGTCTTACACTAATTGAAAGGTGATTCACCCAAAAAGTTTAGTGACATTTTTAATTTTTGGGTAGATGCTCTGAGTAGAGGACCATTGCTGTCACTTCAAGGATCTCTTGTCCATTAGGGGCTATTCATGTTTCCTTATAATGTTTTATTTTGTATTATAGAAATAAACAGAAGGAAACACTCCCATGGTTTCTTTACAAGGCGGGCCCATTGTGGTAGTGTTTAAACAACTCCAATACGTGTAAGTTATTGGTTTATCCAAGAAAGGTTATTTATTGCGTTTACCATAACGGCGGATATATATACTGGAATTTTTTTTATCTTTTACTAGTTACTGGCGGGGGGGTGTTGATCAAGCGAACTTATAGCGGGACTGTGGCGGCATTTCTGACACTGGGATGAACTGACTTGGTGTCACTAACATCCCCAGTGACACCACTACAGGCGGCTGTGCTATGTCTACCCAGTCTCTGCAACTCCGTGTCCCACTTCGATCCGGTCCATGAAGGCAACTGTCTGCGGAGGGGTAAGAGAGGTTGTCCGGTTCGGGTTGTCATCATCTCCCTGGAGTCTTGGATCACGATGTGGGTGGGGATGAACATGCCACCCCTCTCATCTGGCCACACCACCAGGATCACTGGCAGCTTTTTTCATGTCCTTACCCTCTTCCAAGGCTCCACCTCCTCGATGGTGATTGGCCGCCGGAGCTGGTAACTCAGGGAAAAGCACATAGGCGGCCAATCATTCGGCAAGGGAAGCAGAGCTTGGAGAGGAGGAGCCGAAACAGCAGCGCGTAAGATCCAAGAAGCTGATTGGATTAAGGGACCAGCCGGAGCCGGTGAAGAGAAGGAGAGCGGTCTGCAGAAGTAAGACGGGCTGAAGCGGATAGGTACGTGGCTGTTGCGGCCATGATCTGGGGCCAGAGCAGACTGGTGCTGCAGCAGCCAGGTTATCTGGCTCAGTGGATGAGAGAGGGAGGCAGCCCGGGCTTGTAGCAAGTTGTCAGCAATGTAAGCATCATTCGGTGTCAGCGGTAGGAATAGTGCCCTAACCATTAGTGTTCAGTGTGGGAGGAATAGTGCCATTTATAAATGGCCCCAATTCATCCTCTCCTTAATACAGTGCAGTTGTCCTGTCACCCTTCGCAGAAAAGCACCCGCAAAAGCAATGATGTTGCCACACCCATGCCTTTCACAGTAGGGATGGTGTTCCTTGGGAATGCAAATAACTCATCCTTCTTTTTTCCTCCAAACACACCGAGTGAAGTTAAGATCTGGATCATCCAGATGGTCATTGGCAAATTTCAAACGGGCCTTGGACCATGTGATGGACTTGAGCAGGGAAAAAAAAAAAAAAAAAAAAAAAAGAAAAAAAAACCCTTCCGTGCAACACTGCATGATTTGAAACCATGACGGCGTAGTGACCTTATGAAAAACTGATGGTCCCAAGCTGTTCTCATGTCATTGACCAGCTCCTTCCCGTGTAGTTTCTGGGGCTGATTACTTTACCTTCTCTATCAATCATCTGGGAATACCCCACGAGTTGAGATTCTTGCATGAGCCCCAGTCCGAGGTGAGACTGACAGTCATCTTTAGCCTCTTCATTTTCTCACAATTGCTCCAACAGTTGATCTATTTTCACCAAGCTGCTTGGCAATTGCCCGTAGCCCTTTCCAGACTTGTGGAGGTCCACAATTTTGTCTCTGGTGTCTTTTGACAGAGCTCTTTGGTCTTGCCCATGGTAGTAGTTGGCGTCTGTTCTGACTGTGGGGTGGACTAGGTTTGTCTTTAAAGAGCTCAGACAGGTGCTACTAAGTTAGCTTAATGAGTGGAGTAGAGGTGGACTTTTTAAAGGCACAGTAAAACAGGTTCTTTGAGAGCCAGAACTTCTGCTGTTTCTTAGGTGTTCAAATACTTTAGTTTCAGCAGTTGCCAAGACAAATTAAATTTTCTTTAAAAAATCATACAATGTGATTTCCTGAATTTGTTTTTAATTCTGTCTCTCAGAGTGGAATGACCTACAATGTGAATTCAGACCCCTCCATGATTTCTAAGTGGGAGAACTTGCAAAATCACGGGTGTTCAAATACTTCAGTTCTCAATGTAATATGTGATTTTGAGCACCCGTGCTGCCCCTGTAGCAGTATTTCGGTTAATTTAAAAAAAATTGCGAACAGGCAATTTTTTTTATTGTTAGATCTGTTTCTCTATGGAATGTTTTTTTCTGCATAAGCAACTCCGTGTACAATATTGGCATCTGCCGGCATGAATGAGAGGGGAGAGATGTCATTCCAGCCAAGTCAATCAAAATGTGCAAAGATCAGAGCCCATAAGAAGACTGGCCAAAGATGTATCAATGTATCTTCTTTGGAAAGTGAACAATCTATTGTATATCTCCCTTTTAGTAAATCACCCTAAGTTTACATTATCCTACCTCTCGCAAATGCAGATGTCTAGATGGAGTGCAGAAGATTAAGAATCGCATATAATCTACCAGGGTCTAATGAGTAAAAAATGTGTGCAGTAAGTACACAGAGAATCTGCTGAAACTCATGTAGTTTGCCGTGGTACAAAGCACATCTCCATTTAAATTGTATTTATGGTCAAAATGTAAAACCATATATTCATTTTCACATTGTATTTCAAATATTTCTAGCCTACTCCACTTAACCACTTGAGCTCAGGAAGATTTTACCCTCTTCATGACCAGGCAATTTTTTGCTACACTGCACTGCACTTCTTTAACTGGTTGCTAATTTAACTTAACCACTTCCCGTCCGGTCGTAGTATATAATGGCCAAGACGGTGGCATTGCAGGGTCGGGTGGCCATTTATAAACGGCCTCCCTGCACCCTGCTTGTGCGCACTCCCTGGGAGCACGCACCACCGCGATCCTAAGGACACATTGGAACACCGATTGTCGGACGGGACCTCTGTGCGAGGTCCCGATCATGTGATCACTCTGATTGGCCAATCAGTGATCACATGCAGAGTAGTAAGCAAGATGTCACTTCTGACATAATTGCTTACTACGTGTGAAATCTGTGAATGATCACAGAAGTCACATGGTACAAGGCTATTTACAACAGCCTTGTACCATGTGACAAGCTGTGACCAATCACAGCTCACACTGTAGTTCTCAATGGCTGCAAGAATGCAGATAGAGAGAAGGAGAAATGATTGCTTTTACAGCCTTTATGCGTGTAAAAGCAATCAGTGTAAAAAAAATAAATAAATCTTCATCACCCCCCACAAGTAGTACAGGTCACCATGGTGACACTGTACTGCTATAGGGTGACAGTATGTAAAAAAAAAAAAAAAAACCATAAATAATAATATAAAAAAATTAAACAAATGTAAAAAAAAAAAAAAAGTTTCAAAATTATAATTTTTGGTTATAAACTAATTTGGGTTTTTTTTTTTTTACTGAAAAGATAACTGAATAAACTTTAGCCAAGATTTATAATGAAATACTATTTATTTGCAAAATTTTATAAGAAAAAACACTTTTTTTCAAACACAGCAAAAAAAATAAAAACCCAGTGGTGAATAAATACCACAAAAATAAAGCTTTAATCTGTCCTTCAAAAAAATGCTAAACAATTCATAATGTGTACCAGTGTAGCAGCAGACCGCGCATTTGTCCCTATCAAAGAGAGGATAGCACAGAAAGCAATGAAAAATGGCCATTGAACAGGAAGGGGGTAAAAGAAGTCAGGCCTTGGACGTGGTTATAATAACGTTGGTCATGCACCACTGTAAACCAAAACACAATTTATATCAATTAATATTCACACACAAATAGAGCATATCTTTTGGTGGAATATTGATCACCGCAAATTTTTTTATATTTTCGTGTATATAAAATAAAAATAGAAAATTTTGAACCCTCCCCCCCCCCATAATTTTATGAGGTTCTATTTGCAAAAAAACAAATCCATTAAGCCCCATTTAAAAAAACAAACCTTCTTCATATATATTGGCCAAACTGTGTATCTGGCTAATATGTATATTGATAATTAAAAAAAATCCCAATAAGTGTATGTTTGATTGTTTTGTGTAGAAAAGTTATAGCATCCACAAACAAAGGTATCAGAGTTTATGGAGTTTTATTTTCAATATCAACTAATGGTGGTGATTAGAGATAGAGCGACAGAAGATGAAAAATTCGATACCGACTGATTCGGCGAATTCCGTGGACAATATTCGATTCGAGTCGAATATATTCGCTTGATGAAACTTATAACTTAAAAAAGGGTTGTTTTTCTATGCTTCAGAGAGACTTAATATTAGTGCAGAACACTGTACCTTTTAATATAAATGCCCTTGGAGTCTGCAGGTAAGAGAAAATAATACCTGTCTGTCAGTATGACATGCAGAATGAGTGCCGTCGATCTTAGAAACAACTGCATCACACTTCACTCCATTGGCCAGTCACCGGGCCACAAACCAGAGTTTGGAGCCACAGGAGTGGGCGGTGGAGGCAGCCAGCAATGGAGAGGCCATACAGCAACCTATGACCAAAATGGAAACCACAGGACGTGAGGAGACCTGAAAGTGGCAACAATGGCAGAGTGGGAGGCAATGGGAGGCGGTACAGGGACCCAGGTCACACTGAGGGCCCAGCAGCAGCGTTACCAGGCGGTAACGGGGTGCCCATGGCCGAGATGGGGCTAGGTGGCACCTAAGGAAGGCCCTGTAATCTGCCAGGCAACCTAAGAACAAATGGAACCCTGGGTTCTGGGGCAGGCAGAAAAAAAAAACCGCCGTAACTTTATCACGTTTTTTCACGAGGCCACCGAATGGCGACTGCTGCCTATGCTCGACGGCAACGCTGTAGTCCCCACATGGGACCCCCTGGCACGCTTGAACTTTCTGGCCTCATATTCGACATACGGCAACGTATACTTCCTCTGCGCGGCTTGACGAAAACTAGCACACCACACCCGCCGAGTGGGAAACTTAGCACGCCGCATATCTCCTCACTGGCTGACTGCTACTTCCTCCGTGCAACCCCGGCAACCACTACTGGCTGTGGGGGGGTAGGCTGCAGGGAGCTGCTGCTCTACCCGTGGCCGTTTTTCCTCCACTGACACAGCTGCGGGCCCTGTGCCTCCCGGCAGCGCAATGGGGGCCGTACAGGGCCCTGAAGACTTGGACCTAGCAGCAGCATGAGGGGCGGATATAGGGGGTATGGCAGATTAGGGGGGCCCGGGGAGCAGCTATGGGAGGTCCTAATCTGCCTGCACCCATGTCAAAAAATTTTAACCACCGCAGTGTGAAGAGACCTGAAAATGGCACATGGCAGCAGAGTGTTGCGGGGAGACAGAGCAATGGGGGGCCGTACA